CAACCAATCTAGTTAAAAAATTGAAAATTTTCTTTTTAATTAGGGCAAATTTGAACTTTTACATGTAGTATAAATTAAGCAAGTTGACCAACATAGTATACCCCAACTCAACCGGCTCAATTTCGAATTCTCCTTCCGTATAGAGTATACGTCATATCACTTACAACTATGTCAATACTCAATTACTACGAATCTTAAAAGTGAATAAATAATTTTCAACCGCTTGAACTACACGCTTGTTTAAATTATAGTTGGACGGGAGAAATTTGGGTCATGAGAAGGAAAATCCACTACACTTGTACGCAGGATTAGTAGGCAAGGATCCTAGTGGCTAGAGCTCTTGTTTTTTTCATTTTTCGTCTTATAGGGCACCGAAAGAAAACTACGACTTATTACACATCAAGCTTTCTCTTTTTATGTTTGACTTTTGGTGTTCCAACGACAAGATAAAGGCAAATCATACAAAAGGAGAAGTTAAACCGACCATTCGAGGAAAAATATGAAGGATTTCGCAGTAAAAACTTGAACAATACTATGTCTAGGTCCATTAACCCTTTCCATTTCTTTTCCTGCACGTTTTATTCATCAACTGAAGTCGACTCGCGGCGCCAATGAACCCCATCAAGATGGATTTGTACCCAGTCTGGTGATGCTGATGAAATGCTTCTCCCGCCCGACGCTTCAGCTACTTAAGAAGAGTTGTTCTGAACCCACTCCACGAGAGTGGAAATACCGAACCCTGTAGCAGTGCGTTTCTTGTCACTCCAAACAGGCCCGGCCATGTCAATATGCAGCCACTGAACTTTTTCATCAACGAACTGCAAAAGCGTAGTTGTAAACATTGTCATTAGGAAGTGAGACAACCAGGCAAAATAGCGCAGGCTTTGTCATCGATGGGAAAAACAAAGGTGAAGACAGTCCTAGATCGTCATAGTGTAGTTTCTTGGACTTTAGCCCTCTACTTAACCAGAAAAGGAGAAGGTGAAACGAATGTCAAGTTATTTCCGGTGATCAAACAAGAAGCACAAAAGACGCTGAGAATAAAACTATGCAATCATATACCTGCTTCAAGAAGAGAGCAGCAGTTATTGAACCACCTTGACGAGCACCAGTGTTGAGCATATCAGCTATTCCGGATTTCATTGACTCCCAATAACTCTCCTCCATTGGCAACCTCCAAAATTTCTCCCCACTGATCTCTGAAGCTGCAAACACCTCCTTCGCCAGTCATCACTTGGTGTGAAGACACCTGAAAAGTTTTAACATCGCGTAAATATAAAGATATAGCAGCTTTCAGAACTCCTATCCCAGCAGAAACAAAAAATTTGCATTACTCAGCATTTAAAAGAATATGTTTATACCTGCTATTGAGGGTCCAAGAGCAACTATGCAAGCACCGGTTAAGGTTGCCAGGTCAACAATCTGCATAATATGATAGTGTTAGCACTAGCAGTGCAAGAAATAGGTATATAGCAAACATTAAGAAAGTATAAATAAAATAAACTTCTCAAAACTTGCACAGTTCGAAAACTCAATTCTGATGAAAGAAAGACTAGTTACTAGTTACACAATTAGCACCGACATTACAGATACAAAATGCATGGATATAATGCATCACCACATTAATACCTTATCAACACCTTGGTTACAAGCATATACCAATGCATCGGCCAAAGTAAGTCTACCTTCAGCATCAGTGTTATTGACCTGCAGCGGAGATTGAAGCAAATAGAACTTTAGTTCATAAAAACATTGATGCCCAGATTCGCATACAATGAGTCAATTAGACCTCATCAGTTAGAAAACTTTTGCTCAAACCAAAGATAATGCGGAAAATATTTTTCACGTTATGTTAAGCACATATTAATAATTGGTCAGAAACCATAGAAAATATACCTCAATTGTCTTTCCATTTGATGCTGTCACAATGTCTCCAGGCCTCATACCTGTTCCACTTATCATATTCTCGCAAGCTGCAACAATGAAATGAACCTGCACAAACCAAACCCGTCATTGATCCATCTGCACTGGTGTACAATCACTAAAAACTGAAATCTGTGGATTAAAAAGTCACAAATAAATCAACCATGCATCTTTCCCAAGGATAGAAACATGGAAAAGATAAGGGCTCACCTCTACACCAGGTGGTTTGATTTGAGCAATGGCTTTTGCTGCACCTAATACGGCTGCTGAACCTCCCATATCAAATTTCATTTGTTCAATTGAACAGCCAGGCCCTGTCTTGATGTTGTAGCCACCGCTGATAACATAAAAAGTTAAAGGCAAACAACAAATAGTGTCAGGACATTGATGAAGAGAGAAAATGGTGTACACAATATGAGAGGAAACAAACGACTGGCTTAACAATTATTACTATATAGACTTCATACAGCCATGAAACTCAGTAACTAACTTTTCCACAGACACATTGTAACATCAGAAAATGTACAGGCAGTTAAACCAAACTGTTCTATATTTGCAAGAGCTAAAAGAACTAGGGGCAAAAGGATTCTAAATAATTGCCCATCACCTGTCAAAGGTCAGACCTTTACCAACCAACCCTAATTTGACCTTAGCAGGTCCCCCAGGGGGTTTGTAAATCAGGTGAATAAAATGCGGGGGATTTGTTGAGGCTGCGGCAACAGCCAAATAAGAACCCATTTTCAATTCTTTGCATTGCTCTTCATTTAATATGTTTGCAGATAGAACATCACTGTATGTGGAGGCAATCTTTGAGGCCTCTTCAGCTAGTTTCCCTGAGATAATAAACATTGCATACAGTCAATAACAAAAAATATCTCGATGAAGGTGGACTGATGGAACAAAATTTGGAAGCTACAAGTACAGGTGAGCAAAATGGAATCAGTTAAGAGAATCAGATTTTCACTGTTTAACAAACTAAATGAAGAAAGTGCCCGACACATTACATCGACATTAAAGGAACCACAAGACATTAGCTCATACGAACCAGGTGTAAGAACATTGGCAGGTGAATTTACTAGCTCTTTCCCAAAAATTATTCCAGAAGTAACATCTTCAGTATACTTGAGCTTCTTTTCTACTTCAGCTCCAGTTCCAAGACCAAGAATGTCCACAGATTTCAAAGCTGATTTCTTTGACTCTGATTTGTACCTGCTATCTTCATATATCCCCAACACAGTTCCTGCAGCAAGTCAAACCATTCCAACATGCTTACTACAACTATTACCATATCCAAACACACATACCAATATAGAATTTTCAAAAATACTGGGTCAAAGTACCAGATGCTATTGCAGAAGCTGTATTAGATTTCGCAGAAAGCCCCTCCGAAGAGGCAAGCACAATAGCAATGTCACTTGCTTGAGTAGCCTTTGCTGCTGCTGCTGCAGCCTCACCAAGACCTCGGAAAGCTGCCGTAGATGAAGCAGATTGTCCAAGCCCAAATAAGCCAACCCTCTTTGAACCAAGACCCGGAAGCCTAACAACGGTTGACTGGCCAGACTTTCCGGTGAAGTCTTCCTCAGAAGAGACTTCAGCCAAGAGACCACCCAAATGGGAATCTAGCTTCTTCAAAACTGAATTCTGAAACTTGGAGTTCTCGTCTTTCGCCAAGTCTTTCTCTGTGACGCCCACTGCAAGTAAGTCTCCTTTCCATTCCGCTACATCGGTCTCTTTTGCGGCAAACAAGAGCTTCCAGAAATTGACACAAAAACACAAGTGACATTTCAGTTCAACAATTCAAGTTCTTGCACAACTGAATCCAATATTTTGACAAACAAAAAAATCCAATATAATCAATCAAATTGAACATGATACATAGACATAAATAATCAAAATAAAAACCCCATTAACAAAAATCAATCACTTATTGGTTTTATCTCATAAAGTCAATCAAACAATGAAAAAATACAATCACACCACATACAAAGATCGAATCTTTACAGATACAAATCCATCAAATTACATCATAAAACTAACAAATACAACAATCAATACCTCTAAGCAATCACAAACCAACCCCAGACAACAATCAAAATTACAAACTTGCGTTGGCGAATATATATACATATATATATGTCCTGGATTATGAAACCGATGAGAAAAATATACCTTTGGGGCGTCGATGCCCGAAGGGTAAGTGAGGCCGAGATTGGCCTGAGCGAGAGTGTGAGCCATGAGCTTCCCTCTGCGAGAGCACAGGGGTGACACTGCAAAAGAAAGTCGGAGACTGGGAGCAGACCGTAATTTCGTCAAAAAGGAGGAAGAGTAGGAAGGAGAAGTGACAGCAATAAAGGTAGACGCAAAGGACGCTACAACAGCGGCCACCATTTTTCCAGTGGTGCCGAGTCCTCTCTACTTATATTGAGCCTGCCTCTAGATGATAACACTCAGGTTTGCTTTTTCAAATTTCTTATTATTTTTTAGGGTTTTTCCATTTTTCTTATTTATTTTATGTTTTGGGCTCAGATTTGATACCAATATCCGGCATCAGCCCAGCCCTTGGAGATTCTAGAAATGGTTGGGCCTGGTTTTAGGGCCTGTCCTTTCAAAACAAAGAATCGGACCATCTGATTTCATACTATATCCGATCAGAAATTAGACCATTTATAAGAATTTGATACTAAACTCAACATTTATTAAAGTCGAATCTAAAATATTTCACTTATAAGTAAAATAAACACACCTATTATAATCCCTTTACAAATTTGGACCTTGAAAAATAATTCTAATCGTGTGATAAAATAATAACCAAATCACTTGAAAACCCATATCAAAATCAAACAATCAATACTTTGATTACATAACCATCAATATCCTTGTTAGCAGAAACCTAGGCAAAAAGTATAAATAACGACATGACCAACATTTATTAGATAGTCGGATAAGATACGTGGTCAGACCTTCGGATTCAAAGGTTTCATCTTCTAATTCGAAATAGGAATGATCCTTAATTTGATTTACCAAAAATACCCTTCACTCGTACCACCACCGCCTTGGCTTATTGTCATTGCAGCTCTCCGGCTCTCTCTCACAATATCAACTAAAAGTACTGAAAAAAAAAAAAAAAAAGCGGAAGAGAAAAAAAATGGTGGGAACGAATATGAAGGCGGAGACGATGGGTTTAATGGAGAAGAGGACCGCCCTGGAGGCGGAGATGAACGCAATCATAGAGAGTCTTACTCAGCCCGGCGGCCCTGGAATCTCCGGCAACCTCCTTGACTCCGAGGTCAACTTTTTTTTCTTTTCTTTTTCTAATTAATTTTTTAAATTAACAAGATTTGGGATTTAGGGTTTTTGGTGTTGCGTCCTCTTCTAATGTGTAGGGTTTTCCTCGCGAAGACATTGACATCCCAGCTGTGCGAGCAGAAAGGCGTCGTCTTGCTGGTAATATTACGAGAGTATTTTATCAGTGTATTTGCTCAAATTGCATTTATTAAACTAATTATTCGCAATAAATTATAGTTTTTTCGCTGCTAATTTCGTTTTTGAGCTTTGTTTATTCCTTCTAATGGCGGTTCTGATGTTGGTATTTGTTAGTACTTATCTAGTTCATAGTATCTTTGCAGAAGCTGTTGTAGTTTACTTGAATTTTCATGCTCATATGGTTATTTCTTTGCTTGTAATTTCAGAATTGCGTAATGATCACAGAGAGATTACCGAGAAACTGAACAGAAATATTGAAGTTCTGCATTCGGCAAGTCTTGCTCCTAAACAATCATCACTCAATGATCCAGGTAGGTGGTTGGAACCCGGAATGCATATTATCGGAATTAAATATTTATTGCGAGATTTTGGTAGGATAGATTAAATTGTCTATGGTTTCATGTTGTGCGGGATCTGAAATGTATTGTGTACTTGTGTATTGTCATTGTGAGAAAGTCTGAGATTCATTGGCCTTCAGTGATAGGAGCTAAGTGTTTCTTTTACTGTGTATCTATCAAGTTATGTGTTATTTGCATTTTTGTCTAATTTTTCTGTGATGATGGATGTCAGATGGCCAAAGCGCATCAGCTGTCAACGATGTTGCATCTGCATCCTCAACCAATGTTCATACTGCCATGGATGAGGATATGATTGTGAGCGTACCCTTTGCGTTGGTGGATGAGATAGCTGATGCATCACCAGCAGCAGATGATGGTTTACAGATTGGAGATCAGATTGTTAAATTTGGTAATGTGGAAAATGGTGATAATTTGTTGCAGAAACTTGCTTCTGAGGCTCAAGCTAATCAGGACCGTGGGATACCAATAATACTTGTAAGGCAAGGTGCTCAAGTCAACTTAACCGTGACACCTAGAACATGGCAAGGCAGGGGTCTACTTGGGTAAGTGTCGTCTCATTTCACTTCTTTTTCGTTTGTTAAACTTATTCATGATCTGATCACTTGTTATAACTTCTTTGTTAGGAAGGGCATTGGTTAACATTTCGCAATATTGCTTTTGAGGGTCTTAAAATTTCTCTGAAGAATATATAATTGACAGCTTTTTCAGTAAATTTCCATTGCTCATCAAGTAATATTGAATTACTATTAATCTTTCTTCTGAGACTAACATCCAATCCAAGAACGATATCATATAAAACATTTGGTCAGGAAATTGTTATATTGTCAACTAAATTTGGATGGTGAGATTATGAACCCTTCGGTCACAAATTGCCTACCATTATTAGCTAGAGCAGGTGCTATTTGGAATGTTGTGCCCAACCTAAAGCTTTCTTTGCTAAACAAAACAACACATCCTTAACCCACCTGGTTCGTTTTTCATTTTTTGTAAGCAATGTGTAGTATTTTCTTTCACTTACGGTTGTTGGTTTGTCGGTACTTGCAGCTGCCATTTCCGGATCCTGTGAGCGGTTTGTTTTCCGGTTCTTCACAAGCCAGAGGACTCGAAGACAGTTTAGTTAACGTTGGTCTCAATCATGTCAAATTCCAAAACATAGCGCCCTTTAGTTCAGGCTGGTTTCCATTCCGATTTCCTCCTTTTTAAGATGTATACATTGGTTGAGATCGCGACATTATTTGCTTTATTTTAGCGAATCGTGGATGAGAAACATATGGGATTTCTAATTCAATCTTGTAGACTACTTTAGATGTTGTTTCTCTTTTTCTACTCTCGTGTTGTTTCACTTTTTCGGAATTAGTAAATCGGATCAAGGGTTCACACGAGCATATCTCTGTCTCGGGGACATTTTAACTCAATGACTTGTTCAAAAAGAAACAAAATTACAAAAGAGGATTTCTTAGCATCCCTAACTTCCTACAGTCATACAAGAGTTTCAGAGAAAGTGTAACAGGAAATTAACAAATTCACCATATTTGCTTCTTGATAAATGGGGTTAGGAATCTCTCGTACCCTCACGTTGCACGCGTTGGAGAGAGTACTTGCATGCGCCCGGCCCCGGGATGCCACGGAAGAGGTTGGGAACCCAAACCCATATTTATGGAGATGAGGTTGGTTCTTATGGAGATTTCAACTGGTTCCCTTTAATTATAATATGCATCGTTTTCTTCTGGTCTTTCCGCACCTTGATTGCAGCTGCATCAACCTCACTTGGGGCCATGTTGCGTTGACAAATGAGAGGTTTTTCGGGGTGTCATTTATCAAACCAATTAAGTTAGGTATTTAGGATGGAAGCAAGTAAACTAACTTCACGGGTAAGAATCGTACGTGCTATGACTTTTCTTTACTTGATATTCGTTGCACCATCATGTGTTATTATTGTACCCTGATGACAAATATTAACCTTATCATTTACATTAACTATAGCCTGATAAGCAAGGGAATTTGTTGGGTATTTTGTGAATCTGGAGTTGATTGTGAAATGAGAAATGGTGTGAAAATGTGAATCCCTTTTTTGAATTCTATGAAGCTAGAAGAAACTTATTAAGGTTGCACCGAGGTACGATCACCTAATTTGCACCAATGCATTGAAAAATCAGATATATTGCGACAAAATGCCACCTTTTACATTCAAACCATATGCATTTAGCTAGGATGTGACAATAAGTCGTGTCTGGATTTATCTATTTATATTTCGTTACGATCGTCCCAAATTGTCAACCCTAATGAAGGTCCGCTGTCTTTGTGCGTCGGATTGCCAAATGCCTAAGGCTAAGGTCGTGCCCATAGAGGCGATCGTCCCAAATTGTCAACCCTAATGAAGGTCCGCTGTCTTTGTGCGTCGGATTGCCAAATGCCTAAGGCTAAGGTCTTGCCCATAGAGGCAGGTTCTCTGCCCTTCCACTTCTCGTGCCCTCCTGTTTGTGTGGTTACGGTTAAACCACGTTAATATTTTATATTACTATTTATTTTTGTCTTATTATCTCTATAAAAAAAAATAATATAAAATATTAACGTGACTTAACCGTGACCACACAAAACAAGAATGACACGAAAATAAAAAGACAGAGAATCCATGCCCATAAGCTAAGGCTATCAGAGTCTGTTGAGGTCAATTGATCAGGCAAAACAGTAGAAGCCTCAGTCTGTCTACTACTTGCTTGCAGCTTTGGCCCATCTTCACGTTTTATTTTTAGGGTAGATAAGGCAATATATTTTATGTTTGTAGTTTAGTCACATTAAATAAAGCATATGAAATATTTTATATGTTCGAGTTTAAATCCATTTTCTCGCAATTTGTTAATTTAATGTAAAATATCGTTTATTTAAAAATAAAAAAAAATTCTACCTTTTGTATGGTATTTTGTAGACTTTATTTAGGTGTTTTCATTGAGCTAAAAAGTCAATGATTGCTTCTACCTGCTAAAGAGAATAAGAATAAACCTAAAAGAATAGCTTTCCATTAAAATAGTAGAAACTCTTGAATTTTATATTTAGTGATAAGTTTTGAGGGTGAAGTGTGCTATTTAAATAATTGGGTATTTGAGTTTTTTTTTTTCAATATAACAAATAGTTGAATTCCAACTTTTTGACTGAGGTGCATTTTTGTTTACCATCGTCAGGTATGATATTGCTCATCATCTTATTTATTATCATTTGATGAATTTAAATTTTGAGATTTGTGTCTATATATAAATCTCGAAATTTAAACTTATACAACGATGATAAATAGAGTAGTGAGCAAATAAAAAAGCAAATAGACTATGACCACTTCATCATCTACTTGTCTTAGTTCATTTTATCTAATCACTTAATAACATATTTAGTTACAAACTCACACTACAAAACTTAACTCAAATGATAAATAGTTCAAACTTCAATAAACAAATCTAGTTACATGTTTCACGTTAACTTTCATAAAAACAAAATGATTTCCTGACACTTATTTTTTTATTATGCAAATACTTTTCTCCTTTTCATTGTGATTCTCTTTGAATCTTTATGTCCAGTGTCTAAAGATTAAGAGATTTAGACCGTTAAAAAGAGATACGGATTCAGACTTTTAGTTTGTATGAGGTAGATTAATGAAATAAGCTGATGAGAATCCCATAATTTAAAATGGACGATCAAGATCTCTTAATCTTTGAACTCTGTACTCAGAGACATAAAGGATATCAACTCCTTTGAACTCATATTTTTTTCACTACTTTGTTTTTTTCTTTATTTATTCTACTCAAAGATCAGATTAAAAAAAAAAAAAAAAAAGAATGGTAATTTGAGCGCGGCAGGCGATCAAGTTTACCGGGCAACAACCGGTAAAATGCAACCTCAAACCGGCTCGTTAGGTCACCCGACGAGAAACAAAACACGACAATCCTTCACTCTCTCTCTCTCTCTCTGTCTTTTGCTCTCATTGTCTCTCTCTATCTCTGTACAAATTCAGGGAGAGGAAAATTTCAATTCCTGCAGATCGAAACCAGTTTTTCTCCTCACTCCTCACTCCTCACAAAACCCACCTTCCCGCATTTTCCCGGAAACTTTCTTTATTTCCCGGAAAGTGAAGAAAGCATGGGAATTGCAAAGGGACCACTGTCTTTTGTGTCTGCTTTACTCTCTCCAGGTGTTGCAGTGACCAAACGACACCGGTTTCGTTTTAAAAACTTATGCTTTACTGTCTGATTTCTTTCAGATAGTTCATTTTTCACAGAAGTGCAGAGTGGCAATCTCTGGGTTTCGAGACTATTTGGAAGCTCATATATAAAGCCGTAGCTTTGGCATCACAAGGTGAACCTATTTTTCTTTCTATTGATTTCTGCGAAATTGTAAGTGGGTTTTGAATTTCTTAGGTATTTTGGGCATATTGGAATCTGGGTTTTTGAAAAAATGGGGGTTTTAGTTGGTTTCTGTGAGTGGGGTTTGAGATATTTGATTGGTGAAATTTTGATGATTTGAATGTGGATGGACCCAAAGGGTTGGTAGGAGTGTAACTTTGAAGAGCAAAGTGAATGAATGTAGCTAGTGCAAGTGTCAAATCTATATGCTGTCATGGTTTTTCTGGTGATTTGAGCTTTTGAAAGTGAGAGAAACTGGGTTTCAGTGAATTTCCAAGATGGGTTTTCGATAATTTGAGGCGGCTCGGGCAAATTCATAGTCGGGTTCATTCCGTAGTTTTATTGGTGTAGTAAAGCTGAGATCTTTGGAGAATTTGGACCAAAGGAGTGACATCGATGTCAGGAGCTCCAAGAGTAAGGTCTATCAATGTGGCCGATTCAGAGTCAAGGCCAGTGCTTGGACCTGCTGGGAACAAGGCAGGGACGTTCAGTGCGCGAAAACCGGCTTCAAAACCACTGAGAAAGGCTGAGAAATTCAGCGAGGAGGTTTCATCAGCTGAAGAGAAGAAAACCCATCAATCTCCAATGCTGACTACCTCTCCTCAACCGCATTCACCCAAGGTTCATTCAGTGCTTCGTCGGCACGAGCAGCTATTGCACTCTAATTTTTCGCTGAATGCTTCTTGTTCATCAGATGCCTCTACGGATTCGTTTCAAAGTAGAGCATCTACAGGTAGGCTGATTCGGTCAAATAGTGTAGGGAGTAGGAGGAAGCAGTATGTTTCAAAGCCAAGAAGTGTGGTTTCTGATGGTGGATTGGACTCTCCTCCTGATGGTTCACAGTCTAAGAAGAGATGCGCTTGGGTGACGCCAAATGCTGGTCCGTTTTCATTTCTTTCATTCTAGTCAAACTGTTTGCGTTGGTGAATTGGTTATGTTTTTCTAGTTAGTAATGTAAATCTTCTCTTGATATATTCTTATCTGGTAAAGCATACCATTTGGATTTCTAGAGTATATGTCACATCCTGTACTGCTTTATATCATCTTGGGCTTGCCTTTGGAAAATTTGTGCGGAATTTACTGACCGAAATGCTAATTTGGGGCACGTTTTAGACTAGCAGTAGGACTGTCATGATTTAGTTCATAATTCAGCAAAGTGTAGTCAATTTATTCTGTACACCCCATTCCCACTCTGATTTAAGATTAGACTTGGTGATGTAGACACGAGTTAGCATTAGTTCAAAACCAAAATGACTAGGATGCAGTTCGTACTCCAACAAGATAAAAGCAGTTTGTACCTTAGAAAGAAGAGCTCCAAGTTAAGGGAGCATAAGGTTCGTTAATAGGCAATTTTAAATAAATTTGGTTGATCTAAGTAATTATGTTTAAGTCTTACTTGGATTACTCTCCTCAAAGTTTTGTATGAGATATCAAATGAGTATAACTACACTGTTGTTTTGATGTCCAAGCCAAAAAAATTGTAGTCACTTAGTGGCTATTATTTTGATTTTGTGTCATTGTTATGAATAATTTGCATTGCACATTATTAGTGCATGAATGATAGAAAACAGATATATAACTGCAGAAGTAAACAATTTGTGATAGTTGTGCATTTCTGTTTATTGTGTGCTTTGTCCCGTGACTCCAACCAAAGAGGAGGGGTAAGATAAGCCATGCTAAGTTTTGTGGAGGTGGAATTACATTTATGTTAGCTTAGAGACTCATTATGTATGGTTGAATCAAATAGGATTTTCTACATGGCTTGGTATTCTTCTTTTGGATATTTATATTCTGATAGAGCCTGGTATGTTGAAGCAGATCCATGTTATGCTGCTTTTCATGATGAAGAATGGGGGCTTCCAGTACACGATGACAAGTAAGTCATAGCAACACTATCTGCATATATGTTGACAGTGACGACTATGACTTCATAAAAATATACTTCACTGTCATTTCCTTAATCTTCTTGACCACATGCAGGAAACTGTTTGAGCTTCTGGTCCTATCAGGTGCTTTGGCCGAGCTTTCATGGCCTGCCATTTTAAGCAAAAAGCACATCTTTAGGTACTGTCCCTGTGAAAGTTATCTTTTCTATTTACCAACCAACTTACCCTGAATTATATTCTGTACAAAATGTTGGGGCCTTTTCAGTGATGGTCCCTTCCCTGTTGAATGGCCTTTAATAATTGACACACTTCTTTATTGCAGGGAAGTTTTTGCAGATTTTGATCCCATTGCCGTCTCAAAATTGAATGAGAAGAAGCTTATATCACCAGGAAGTGCTGCAAGTTCCCTATTGTCTGAACTGAAATTGCGTGCTATCATTGAGAATGCACGTCAAACAACCAAGGTACATGTTCATTTCCTTATATCATTGTATGAGATTGAATTGCAGCGGATGCACGCTTGTTCCAGCTTAGTAAATCACCGCTAACTCGTGTGGGGAAAGTATTAGGAATCTCACCTGTATGCTTATCCATCGCAAAATTACCTTTTCAATGATACCCAAACTTAAGCAAAGTAAACATGGCAAGTAGTATATTTGTATTAGTTGTATTATTTATGCATCACTCTGTGAGTAATTGTTTGGGCTGACACTCACACCATCATGATCCACTCATGTTTGAACACATGGATCTATTTTGTAATGCTATCAACCATATTGCTATAACATGTGGATTAGCAACACTAAGAGTTTGTGTTAGCACCACACTCAAAAAAAAATTTCTCTCCACAAGCCAAATAGCCCCATTCGCTGAGTTTTTCCCGGTATATACGCGGGGACCCGCATGTTTTCTGTTGTTTGTGCAATCAATTAAATGGCATATAATGAGTGTTTGGTGATTATTTGATCAGGTAGGTTAGGTGAAAAAAGTAGTTGAATTGTGGTCCTGAACATCTCTGTTATTTGTATCACACATATAGGACAAGTTGTTGTTCTATCATCCTTTGAAGAAGCCTTACCTTCCATCATACCTCAACAATTGCTCATCCAACCTAATCATTCCCCATCTTCAGCATGCCAGCTTGCTTCATTACTTAGTCCTGAATTCACTTATTTAACTCCGACAAGTTTCCAACCGTTTAATCGCTGTCCGAAACCCTTTTTACTGTAGCCATGATTGCACATTTCTTTAATCTCTATCATTGCAACTAACTTTTTGCAGGTTTTGCTGATGCCAGGTCATAGAGGAGTTTGGGTCATTTGACAAGTACATCTGGAGCTTTGTGAATAACAAGCCCATCGAGAGCCGATTCAGGTATCCTCGGCAGGTTCCGGTTAAAACTCCAAAAGCAGACGTCATAAGCAAAGACCTTGTGAGAAGAGGGTTCCGGAGTGTCGGGCCCACTGTCATTTACTCCTTCATGCAGGTCGCCGGAATCACAAATGACCATCTCGTTAGTTGCTTCAGATTCCAGGAATGTGTTAACGCTGCGGAAGGGGACGGAGAGAACGGCAGTCAAGGACGAGGCTGGGAAGAAAACGGAGAACGGGATAGAATCAGAGTTATCCGTCGCCATAGACAAGCTGAGTTTCTCGTCGGACTTATGAAAGGCCATGCCTTTGATCAGCTCAGCAGGGTTCAATCATCAGTTAAGCCGCATCGACCGATTCAGAGCTACTCTTTGTATTGAGTAGTAGTGAAGAGGGTTATGTGTGTAATTAATGAAATTCTGAAGCAAAATATGGATTTTGGCAATGTAGATTACTGAAGTGGATTAAAATTAAACTGGTGATTGTGCTGTTGCTTGAGGGAGCCTTCCAAAACCAGCATGCAACTTTTTGTACAGTTAAAGATATTAGTTATTAGAATCTCTTTAAAACCAGATTTGGGTATTAATTAATTAAAAAAAAGGTAAAATCAACTTAATTAAATACTGTACAATGCTTCACAATCTGAATTATACTTTCAAAATTTCTACTATGCTCCGAGGTATTTTATTCACTCAAGTTTTGGTGTTAGATTATGTCTGTACTTCAACCAAGGATTTAGTAGCTGCAAAAATACCAGTATATAAGATACATCGTAGCATACTACAAAAGTGCTCGAGGTTTTAGTTTTGAACTGAAAGTCGTGGTTGACAGCTGGTAGTGGTGACAAATTGACAATGATCTGTAGCACAGTTGGGACAGGAAAATTTGCTGCGTCCAACCAACATCACCCAAAATGTGCGGCACCACTCTTTTTATCTCAAGTAGTCAAGTAGGGGTGTCAATGGGTCTTGTTCGGTTCTACTTTTATATATATATATATATATATAATGTGAAGATGGTAAATAATATGGTAGCTCAGACTGATCCCCCTCCTCGTGCAGCTACACCACATGAGGCTGCATGGTACTTTTAATCTCCAGGTCAAACAGTTCGTCAAAACAAAACTGGTGCCTCCAAATAATGTATGCGGTATGAGTTCAAATCTGAATTAAAATTTCAAACCTTTGCTCACTTTTCACTAAGGCAAGTACTAAATTTTGTCGAGCCGTGGATGCAGACTGTTTAAGAAACGCGTCTGCCTCCTGCCTCTGGTTTCATTTTTATTCTATGAATGCCACCAAATTGGGCAAATTGGGCAAATTGAGATAACGACTGGTTGATGATGAAAAATTGAAAAAGAAAGAACGGCATCCGAGGGCAAACCACATCCCAACTTTTTACCTCAAGGACTTGACCAAATCAAGTATTTGGTAGGGATGGCTGGTCAGGCCACTCTCACAAGAGTGAGACGGGTCTAACCATCAAGCTAATCAAGCTGCCTATACCCAAGTTTTTCTCGCTTGATACGATATGCACGTGCTCGAATTGAATTTATAAATGAATGACCCCGATTTCTATATTGTTTCACTGCCATCAGCCTATTTAAAACAAGATGCAAGGGTGTACAGTACCAAATCTACACAACTATGCACTATTAAACTACATCTGAAAGGTGAAAAACACCACCAAGAAAAAAGGGGAAAAAAATCAAACCTGCCAATCTGATAACTCATAATGCTATATAAATACACTGCAGCTTTTATAAAAGAGAGAGAGAGAGAGAGAGAGAGAGAGAGACAAGCCCGGTCGATGGTGTTCTTTACTAGTCCTTGGGCCACCAAGGGAGCTTTCAGCAATGCTTTATTTCAAATCCAATGCTCAGAAGTGTTCGAGCCGATTCCATTGCCTTCTCACCTCCGAGGTCGAAGGCCTCACCCGTCAATTCTCCTCCTGTGTCCACCGACCACTGGGTTGAAGAAATTTGGTTTGGGTCTGTATCGGTCTTCTTGATATGCAAATTGTTCATGGAAGCAGGAGCGGCAGCAGCAACAAGAGGAGCGCTCGGAGGGCCATGTCGCTTCTTTGGGACAGGCATGTCATGGTCATGTACCCCCCTGTATGTTATAATTACAGCACTTGTGTTATCTACGGCTGTTTCAATGTGCTTCCGAACTGGACACCCAGCAGAAGTACATCTGTAGTAGTTCCTGAAAAAAAAAAATACAATACTTGATCAAAATCAAAGGAAGACTACATGTAGTATTTAATTATAAAGCTCCGAATGCCAGCTCTGAATAGATTTCTTTCACTATTTTTTTACTTGTACATCTACAGTGGCAGATCTCCTTTATAACAAAAGCTTCATTTGATTAGAGATGCCACAAAATGCATTAAAGCATTCTTTGATGAATATCATTTATGCTGCGCTTACTTCTTAGAAATGCAAATAAACAAAAAATGGAACCAACTAAGATTGCTTAAGAGTCAATTACTAATTGGATCAATGCATTTTCGAGTTATTCAGAATGTATCTTTCGCAAATTACCTGCGCTTTGAAGTTTTAAAGCAAACACCTTGCACAAAGGAAAGATGAAGTTTATGTAAAAATGACGCATATTGAACATCATTTAACCACATAAATAATGAATTTAAACCCCAGACGCTGATTAATTAGGCTAATATCAAACTACCAAGGAAGAAAAAGTGAAGGAAATAGGAATGCACCTGGGATGAGGATTTCCTTTCACCATCTTCTGTCCATATTTGCGCCATCTGTATCCATCACCTGATATTCCAACATCCCCAGCCGCATGCACAACAAATTTAGGTTTCTTGCCAGGTTTTGAGAGAGAAGCAGAATATTCTGATTTGCTTTTCTTCATTCTGGTTATCAATAAGGAGAGCATTAGAACCAGGTAACATACTCCTTTCAACAAGTATGGTATAAAATACAGGGGGGGGTGTGAAAGAAAACAAAATCTACAGGTAAACTTGCCTTCGTTTGGGTTCTGGCTCATCACCATCACCATTCTCCTCCTTGATTTTAACATCGCCATTATCATCAGAGTCACTTGTGCTCTGCCGTTTTCTTTCAGGAACTGATGGTGTTTCTTGAATAGGTTCTTTTGAAGATGTGGACACCTCTGAATCATTAACTGTTCGGCAGGAATGTTCTGCAGGAACAACACTATATCTTACACACTCAGCAGATAGTGCAAGCTTATTCTCCTTTATGCAGATACTTTTCCGAGGGGGATCATGAGTATGTTGGCTTTTGTAAACAATATCTGTTACATGGCCTGAGTGATCACAGCATTCTATTTTCTTGGCATAACACTCAGAATATGTGCACCTATAATAGCTTCGAGAACCTTGAGGGCTCTTTACTTGCTTCTGACCATATTTCCGCCAGTTGTAACCATCTGAAGCAGATGTCTTTCCATGAGGAACTCTTTGTTCTATTAGAATTGGGCTTGGAGCAGATGAAATGGATTGAGTGACAGAAGTTGGAGATAGTTCTGAAAACAGAGTTGGACAAACAGTCAACTGAGACTGACTTTGCTTCTGAATCTGAATATCTTGGTTCGTTACACTTGCCAAAATTTCCTGGTGGCTCAGCCCAAGTTGCTCCTGAGAAATAACAACGAAAATGATTACACAACCACAATGTAGGGAACTAGAGGTTTGACTTTTAATAACAAGAGGTGTACTATTCTGGAGTTGCACCAAATTCAAACGATGTTATACAAGATGCATATAAACCCATGCCTCAAGTTAGACTGTTAGAGGTCTGAATGAGATGATGTAAGGTCAATAAAGTTTCAATGCTCCTCCCACCAAAGAATACATAAGAAGACAGTTATAAAAGCCATAAGATAGCGGAGGTTCTTTCACATGAGCTGAAGTATACATACACTAAATGCTTGGCTACTGATTTATCAAAGATTCTCTTAATCTTCAGACACTTGTTAGTATAAATTGATTAACACGTACTTCGGGTACACACCATGCATATAGGTCACATCTCCATTGTTCTGTCATTAAAGATTATTACTCCTAACATCGAAGTACGAACAAGAGGAAATCAAATACAGTGAAGCAACTAATATTCCATCTCGAGTCAACTGAATTTGCCTTCTAGTGGATCTATCATTAAATATAAATAATTTTCTCTTCGGATCTTATCTGATCCCTGAGTGGCCAAATTTCCTACTTTTGAACGTTTTCTTTTGAGTTCAATACATCCTGCCCATTCCCGATATGATGTGGGGTACCTGTGGATTTGTAGTAAGGTGAAACTTGTTCTTTTGAACCATTAATAGGTGATACTAGGCTACTAACTTTCAGTAATGCAAATTTTTGCTTCTAATTGTCTCTTCGATGATTCTCTTCCAATTACTCAAACATCACTTCGCCTCTCCAAAAAGCAAGCAGATTACAAAGCTTTTCCTACTTGGTACCTAATAAGAGAGATTAACACTTGCAAATCAACATTAACTACGAGGCTGTAATCACAAGGATTTCAGATTCATGATTCCAACCCTCAAACAAGAACTTCAACAAACGTTTTTGCCCTTCCTCGATGGAAAGCGCATTCATAGCATTCAATATCCAACCGAGACAAAAAGTAATCTCATTTCAAGCCATAATTTTCTCTAGTATCCTAATCCTAAGTTCCTAACCCTCAAAGCAATCAGTAACAGCACACAATTAAAAATGCTTAAGACTCACTTAGCCAACGATCAAAAGCTCAGAAATTTCAAATGATTGAACTTCTAACCTGCAATTCAGCTCCATCAATCGACTGTGACACGGACTCAAGCTGCAAACCTGCATGATCAACCACACACGATCACCCCCCCTTCACCATAATCCCACCAAAACAAAAACAAAAAAGGCACCGTTTTCCTAAAACACAAAGCTTTACCTGCAAACTGATCGTTCTCTGAAACTTCCTGCGTCGAAGGCGCCGTTAGGGTTTCTAATTGCGTTCGCCTCAACTCGGATACAGAACTCTTTAACTCGCCGGGTTGAAATTCACCGAGTCGTTGCTTTCGTTCTTCGTCGTCGTCTTCGTCTCCGTCGCCGCCTTCTTCTTGTTCTCCTTTCCTTGGGTGTAGTTTCTCCGTTGGGAGAGCATCGGAGCTCTCGTGGCGCTCCGCCATGGCCGATTTGTCACTGTCAGAGAGTAAAGTTTGTCGAAACTGTTGGCGCTGTGCGTTTTGTAGTGTCCGAAATCGAGCCGAAATTTGGACCGAAACCGTGAAATGTTTCGGGTTCTGTGTACCGGTTTGATTAGGGAGGGAGAGAGAAAGGCGGAGAGAGGGTTTGCTTTAAAGAGTGGGGGGATATATGTATGTCTTTGACTGGAGTTGACTCAGGTGGTTTTTATGACGGTGTAACTGAAGCCGTTAATATCTCCGTTATATGGGGTGCGGGGATCGCCGTAGGTTCTGCTGACTTGACGGTTTCCTTTAGACTGCCGTTTGGTGTCGGACACAGCGACCCATTTCTGTAATTGTCTTATTCTCTGTATTATTGTATTAATCAGATTAATTAGTTTATTGCATTAGAGTTGGTACGTGTTATGCGTCGTGAAGGATTGATTGATCACACTTTTTGCATTAAATCTTAAAAGGATTTGGTTCTCACTTTTATTAAAACAATTGTTGCCAGTTAGAATAGTACCCATGAAATTCTATGTTTCAGTGCATGACGTTTATTAGATAAAATAAAAGTATGCATGGGCGGTTAAAGATCCAAAAGTTTTAACGAAATACTTTCAGTAATGTTCATTTTTAACGAAAATGATATTTTTACTCTAAAAAGTTACTCATAATACTATTCACTTATAACACATTTTTGTCCTTTTGATTAAAATTCAAAGTTTTCAAATCATTTTCATTAGTTTTCTTAAATATTTAATGGTCACAAATGTTGTTGTATAGGAAGAAAGTTGAAGTTTCACTGTACAATTAATTATAGGGAGTGACATAACTTATTTATAAGTCCATGCAAGGATCATAATTGAATATTTTCTCGGTTTCCATGAAATGTCTTAATGGGTCCATCACTTTTCAAGCCTAACATGTGAATAATATGACGGGATAACGTGAAGCGCGTGTGGCCGTTTAGCTTTACATGTGGCACAACTTGCTTTGATACTTTGAAAAAAGTTGAGGTTCCATCATACAACCAATCATCAATATGGGGAGTAATCCAACTTACTTATAAGCCCATACAAGGTATCTCCTCCCATCAATGTGGGAATTATTCTTGACAATATATTATACACAATGCAGTCTCTGAAATCTCAAGATTGTTAAGTATATGCTATAATGAATAGCCTACACTCTATTTAAATGAAGAAATTTTACTAGGAAATTTAAAAATGATCGAATTTTATTTTTTAGAATTTGTGAATTTTCTTGCTTAGTTAATGTAAAAGGACAACGGAATTTGAATACAAAGTTTATTATTTCTAAACTCTCATTCATAGAAATTTAGAAATGACACATATTCACATGGAATTTAAACTTGGAAATTGGAGGTCCCAAATTCTAAGTTTCTTTCTTTCACGCGGAAATTCTATATTCCTATGATTATGAATCCAAACAAGGAAACTGGTGCATGTCAATTTATTTGTCAAAATTCCGAGTTTATTTGCTTGATATAAACTCAATGTTAGGTTTACACATGAAGAATTTACATGCAATAAGAATATTCTAAACCAATCCCGACAAGTTATATGGAACAATTAAGTACATGACGGTTAGTGTTTAAAATAGCACTATAGGTGGAATATCGATATGAAAATTTATGGAAATATCAAAATGGATATCGGCTGTCTTTGATGAAAATTTGGAATGGGATGGGTATATCAACTCATTCAAATTTAAGTCAAAATTGAAAAAAATTTCTCAAAAAATTCAAAAGTTTGACATTTGCTATGGTTTCTGACAAAATTTTTGTAATGAGAAGTAAATATTATCGAATATTCATTGATTGTCCTTCCCCTTTTTTCCATATCAATCTTTGATTGTTCAAATATTTCGATGAAAATATCGACAGCATAAATATTTTAACCCTAATAACGATACATAAAATATTTGGAATACTGATTTAGCGTGTTGCTCGCATATAAATTTCTCTTCGTCAACAAAAGAATGGACGTTTCGATATTTTGCAACCATAGATATTCTTTTGAAAATCTATGTAATATGCCCTAGCTAGGAACAAAAAATGTATAGGTTTATAGTGCTTTACTTTTAGGATAATGATATGGGATGTGTTATCCACACATATCTTTTTACTTCTCACACACACCCTATTAATTTCTGTCATTTGATATTCTTCAATTTATCCGATCATACGACTGAAAAATTAGAAGGTATATGAAAAGTAAAAAGAGATGTGTGGATATCACATTTGTAATAATATAAAAAGAATGGTTGATAAAGTGTTGTCTCGGCTAATTCGTCTCTAATATATATATATTTTTAAATAACGAATCTGAATGTTGATGAAGTGCTCTCTCGCCAAAAATTACCTTATCTTTCTGATTAAATTGTAAGAACATTGAAGCTAGTTAAAAAAATTGTGAGCAAATCAATATCAAGTTACCGAATCCGAATGTGTATATTCTGAATTAAAAGGTGTGGTTGTGAAATATTGGTACCAAGTCAAAAAAGTAAAAAGTGAATGGCAATGTGCTTTATTCTATCATCTTATTGAGAATATTTAGGGCAAGTCCACCCTACCCAATTGCCAAAACAATTGGACAATTGAATCCCCTAGAACCCCGATAACCATCCCCATCCCAGCCCAATCAGTTGGGCCAAGACTGCCTAACCAGGAGATTCTGGCCCGACCCAGCACCAGAGTGGTCTGACGTCAATCACGTTAAAAAAAAGTTGGAAACAGATTTGCCTTTGTGAAACCGCCGCCCTGTGAAATGCATCCTGAATTGCCTTTTCGACTTCATCGACGGAACCAGCCACGACACCTTTTAGGACTTTGGCGCCTTATGGACAGACCTGTAAAATGATCTGGTTTATTGGATTTGGATCAGGTTTAACCCGACCCATTAAGTTAACGGGTTATCCGAACTTAATCCGTTAAGTTAACGGGTCATCCAAACTCGACCCGTTAAGCTATCGGATCATTCGTTTCACCCGTTAACAATTATTATTATTATTTTTTTTTTTTGCATAGAGTTTATTTTTTGTTATTAAAACTTGACTAAAATTACTAAAATATCCTCAACTAACGGGTGCTAACAGGTTTAACGGGTTGTTAACGGGTTCACCCGTTAAGCATTCACCCAAATACTAATATTAACGGGTTGGGTTCAAAATGTCAGATCTACTTATGGGTGGGGTTATACACTCTTCTTTTTACCTTTTTCATTTCTTTCAATTTCGACATTTGAGTTAATGAATTGAAAAATATTAAATGATAGAAATTAACAAGAGATATGTGAGGGATAAATATTTAAATCGGTGTGTAGATAACACCACACATAATTATTTGTTTCCAGACTTTCTGGTTATGGAAAAACTCTAAACGCAACTCTACCACTTTACCAAAATTTTGATTAAAAGCTTCCAATTAAACTGCTTTGGATTAAAGATTAAAGTTTTAAGGGAGATTCTTGCTAGAAAGTTAATATTGCCAATAACAGAATCAAACAGATACAATGGTGGTGCTTTGCTTACTGAAAAATTGGTAATGTGCCCAATACTGTGTGTGGAACAAAACTTACGTGCCCAGAAATTTCTACTTCTTGTGTCTACAACATTCAACATTTGAAAGATTGTAGACTCGAGAGTGAGTTTAAGGTGGATTAAGAGGGTGTCGGGAGCATAAAATTTGTGAACTTTTTTACAAGTTGAGGTGGATTACAACACATGAGAGCTCCTTTTAAGGTCCGTCTCTCCTACTAATCCCATGAAGTGATCTAATGAGTGATGTAAACAAGAGAATTTACATAGTAAATCTTTTGTGTTTGTGGTGCCATTGTACTTAACAGCATTGATTTCTAATTAATTCACACATTATTAATGTAATGATCATAATGTACTTATGAGTTCACTAACAAAATAATTTCATAAAGGTTGTATAATTATGACAGCTCTCACGCTGTAGTGAAATTAGGTGGGGATAAAATATAGAGACAGCTCATGCTTTTGGTTGGGGTACCCCAACACAATTTTTTCTCCACTTTGAATTTCAAATCGCGTAGATTAAAAATTAAGATTATTAACTTATTTGTTGCAAACAAATAAGGTACAGAGCAAGCCTAAACTTAAACTAATAAGCACAAGAGATGGTATCGGGGGGCTGGGTGGGCCTGGAGGTGCCCTTCTTCTCCGCCTCCAATAGGTTCCACCTGTGTGGCTTAAATTTCGGGGAGACTAGCGCATCAACCCGGCGCTCCACCACGCCCTCCCACGTAAATCTTAGTTTTGATCCAAGAGGGAATCAAACCACGACTATTTAATGGGAGTAATTTTCATGGCATGAGTAAAAAACAACCGCAACATTAAGTGCCAATAATATTACAGACATGAAACACCACATTGATGGCGTAGACAATAGAACTCTCGCTATCACCCTCATCATGTCAATTGAAGATGCTCTCGACTCATTTTCCAACTTCGGGTTCGAGAGATGAACGGTTCTTCAAATGGTTCACGCGACGAGGATAGAGGGAGGCAAAGGGGCTACGAAATCAGTATTAGACATGCAAGTTAAACGTGAATGAACACAACTCAATGAAACACTGACAAATGCCCGGCTTGGCACCGGGTGCTGAATAAGCATGGGGGGAGAGGGAATGGTTGGTGAGGGAGGGGGAAACTGAAAATTTCCTCAAAAATTCAGATCATTTCATGGGACTTTCCTTTTTAGATGGGCACGTGGGCTAGCAAATTTTGGGGCTAGTTTACGAGGAATGCTAAGTACACTTTCTAAAAAATAAGACTCACGGATTGTCTAACATTTCGTACATTTTACGTAAGTTATTAAAATGTTTATATGAAAATTGACGTTCAAATATAAGATATTCTAAGAAAGGGCTGAATATCCAAACACGTGTCCTGTCGTTGTCCAATCAAACATATAATAAAACAAATTAAATAATAGAAGATATTCCTTCACAGCTCACAAGGAGTCAGAACTCAGAATACAAAACGTACGCCATTTCAATTTCCAACCTATCCCAGAATCAAAGGTATGCGATATGCATGGTCCTGGCTGTGAATCGTAACTAATGCAGCCGCTGCTACAGTCGGGTCAGTCGCTAATCACTCCACTTTTACTTCATTTTTTTCTGGTTTTTTAAAAAATATATTGTATTCGATTTGGTGTTGATTGGTTGCTGGGAAAAATGCATGACCGAAATTAAATAATTTAATCAAAAATTTCATTTTGTTTGTGTGTGTAAAACTTAAGAGAATTGGAATTGGATTGACTAGAAATAGCTAATTACTGTGAAGAAAGTGTGTAAATTGCTGAGTGGAAATTACCCAAATTTGGAGTTATATTTGGTCATCCGAAGTTCAAATCTTTCAGCTGAACAGCTTGAAATTGAGTAAAGGGTAGGCCTCTTTCTGCTCCTGCAGTGGAATCAGCTGCTTCAACTAGTATGTTTTCTGCATTAGAACCACCTGCCATAGTTGTAGATTAAAAGAATACAAGACGAGAAGGCTTTCGTTTTATGGATATGCATAAGCTCGGAAATCGGGTTTATTCCTGTAAATTTTAGTTGGTTTGCTTTGAATTTTTGTGTAGAGATTTTGTTTGGTACAGGTATTGTATTTGGTTTCTTTACTGCAGTCTGCAGAAAGACGGTTTGGATGTAGTTTGCTTTTGGTTTTGGTTCCTAATTTCTTTTTGAGTTCGGTTTGGCCTCAGGAGATAGGTGTCGCGTGAACTTGGTTATTGAACATTCAAACTTGAGGGTCCGTCTGATAACCATTTCATTTCGCTTGTTCTTTTCTCTACTCTCCTATTGCATTTTCCCCTCCACCCTCATTTCTCTTGTTTCTCTACATCTGTGTGGCATAGTCACTTTCATGGTAGATTCAGTGTTGTCCATTCACTGCGTATATTTATCGCAGCGAGTAATCTTCCTTTTCGCGGAACAGAAAGAGATGTGGTTAATTTGAAAGTTTGAAACCATGGTTTTTGCACGGTTTAAAGGATTACGAGCATGTACATTCTGTGGGGACTAAAATCCCAAGATTTAAGTTTGGATGCAAGATTTCATTCCCCCTTTTTAATGAAGTTTTGATTGAGTTTTTCACTGTGAATTCCTTGATAGTCGTTTAATGAGTTTAGTATGCATTTAATTCTCATGATCGTGAATTCATGTCAGGGGAAAGAATGGAGGAGGAATCGCCAAAACCTCCCCTTTCATTATGGGGCCGGGTTTCTGCCTTTCAGACAAGGGCTTGGGAAGCATACAAAAGCAAGCCAATCTCGCATTGGATTCTCCTTGTCCTTAGCAGTGGGGGCATGCTTATAGCAGTTTCCTGCATCGAGTCTTCTTTCTCGTGTGTATTATGCCAATGGAGGCACTAGCAAGTGGATCATTTCATGGGTTGCCGTAGCAGGGTGGCCTCTGACTGCTTTAATCTTATTGCCTACGTACTTCGTCTGCAAAACGACCCCTACTCCCCTGAATATAAAACTTACTGTTTCTTATATTGTGCTAGGTCTACTAAGCGCCTGCTGACAATCTCATGTATGCTTATGCATATGCTTACCTTCCAGCATCTACCGCTTCTCTTCTTGCATCATCATCTCTAGTATTTTCTGCATTATTTGGGCACCTACTTGTGAACAACAAACTTAATGCAGCGATAGTAAACGCTATTTTTATCATTACAGCTGCTATGACCATCATTGCTCTGGATTCAGATTCAGACAGATATGGAAATGTAACTGATAAGCAATACATTCTGGGATTTGTGTGGGATATTTTAGGATCAGCACTCCACGGGCTTATTTTCGCTCTTTCAGAGCTGGTTTTCGTGAAGCTACTTGGTAGAAGGTCCTTCCATGTTGTGTTGGAGCAGCAAGTCATGGTTTCTTTCTTTGCTTTTGTGTTCACCACTATCGGAGTAATCGTGAATAAGGACTTTCAGGGAATGAAAAACGAGGCCGGAATTTTCAAGGGCGGTAAGTCTGCTTATTACCTTGTTCTCATTTGGAGTGTCATCAGTTTCCAGTTAGGGGTATTAGGGGCTACTGCTGTGCTTTTCTTATCTTCCACCGTTCTCGCCGGTGTGCTGAACGCAGTAAGGGTTCCCCTCACCAGCATCGCAGCTGTCATATTGTTAAACGACCCGATGAGTGGGTTGAAGATCCTCTCTCTGATTGTTACAGTTTTGGGGCTTTGGCTGCTACATCTATGGCAGTTCCTCTGCATCTTCAAGTAGAAATTCCTCCTGATATTTTGTTTTCTGGTTCATTTGGGTTTATATGTTTATCATATCCTAACGTAGTGAATTACTTGGTTATCATACATATTCCTTCCCAATGATATAAGGATATACTTTTTAAATGTATAGCTCTGCTTTTGTCTCGTAATTTTACTTAAACAGGCCGGGACTAGGTATCCGCAAAATATACGGTGAAGATTGTTTAAAAAATCGGACTACATGTATCAGCGTTTGCAAAGGATTCTTCTCGACAATCGTAATCACGAGTATCAATCTAGTGTCTGCATCCATATGATCCAATATATCTAATAAGTCGCACTATACGTCAATCCACAACGAGTGAAAATAAGCACGAACCAGTGATGTCATAAAATTGTCAGTGAAACAGAAATTCAACTCTTGCGAAGAAAAAAAGGAAGACAGTAACAACGATTCAACATGTGTAGCATCAGCAAACAAAACAAAGCATCCGAAACATTGGAACATAAACCTTAACAATGATTAAACATAAAAATATCTTTCTTTTGTTGGAAAAAAAAAAAACAGAGAAATAGTATCATAGATATGCAGCAAGCTCCCTTTGCCAAGGGATCCGGCAGCTATAAATCTTTTGCGTCATCACTTTTACAAGCTTGGCAAGATAAAACACCATTTAAAATAAACGTTCATTGCACAGATAATATGGTTCCACCAAAGAAAAAAGTAAAAGCAAAGAACGTCTTGCCATCAGCTAGAGCTACTGCTACAGCATCATGCTTAATTCTTCGGACCAATGTCCTTGAGGGCACAGATCTGCTCCTCACCCATGGCAGACATGACAGTCACCACAAGATCCTTTCCATCATTAAACCCGTCCTTGATCTATAAAAAAACAGAAAATGAAAAGCTTTAGTTGAATACGAAGAAAAGAGATGCAAATTACAATAAACCACCTACGGTAAATGAGTTTTTTTTTTTTTTTTGCTTGATGAGATAGATACCTGGGTAAGCAGACTGTCGTCAGTGGGAAGCCTCAGATCATCCTTGGTGTTTCCATTTTCAGTCAAAAGACTCACCTACAACATGTCGAACTCCAGTTAGAGCAAACAAAATGGAAGAAATGCATGTCACAAGAAATATATAACCGTTAACATAACACAAACAGAGAAGAAAATTATCATGAAACTCCCAGATAAATTCATGCGTCAAAATCTCAAATAATAGATGATTCTACTGTCGTAATGTGCACGAGTTTGCTTCTTTTGGTATCATCATTACCATCGAAGCACACATAAATTCACATAACAATCAAAATTTCTGATGACATACTTGGAACTAATTGTCAAGAAAACTTACAAAGCCATCCTCAGAGATATCAATCAGCTGGTAGTCAGTACGGTTGACATGGGGAACCTGAAAAAGCAATGATAAATAAGCGGAGAATGAATGATCCAACTTAAAACCAGGAAATACAACACGTACAAAGATACACAATTTCACGAAAGACAAATTTAGAGAAAGCAATTACATCACAATTGTGGGACGAAGGAACAATATCTTCAAGCTTCTTTCCATTGAAAATATCAATTGCAACAAAGTGACACTTAGCGTGACCGTGCTTTCCAGTTTTGGAGGTGGAGACTTCAACAACCTGTAATGAGAGCAAACATGATTTTAACTGAGAATGGATTAATCAAATAAATCCTTCACATAGAAATGATATACAAGGATGATGAGCGATAGAACTTCGGTTTTAGCACAAAAAACTTTAGATCTCAATAAGGACCAGTTGTAATCGTGTACTGAGTGTGTGCGTTTGTGCTAAGCCCCAACACAACAAATCTAGACCTAGACAAAGATGCCATGGATTTAATTGCCAGCCGTAATAATTGTAGCAAACGAATGCGCAATACTACTATGTGTGCTAAGTGATAAGTCGATTGCGTCCAGAAGATTCGTTACTGACTACTCCCTCTGAGTACCAGCACCAGCATGAGAGCCAAACAGTAACAACAACAAATTAAAAAACACTAAACTCCCACCAACGAAATTGCAATCCTTTCTGATTCAACAACATCAACACCAGTAACAACACAACAATGAGATCATGAATAATCAAATACCAAAACCAAATCAACAAAATACACAGCAAAGCAAACATATTCAATCAAAACTCGAAACCCCACCAAAGATCTGGCGAAACCACAAAACCCAGATGAATTTTGACCTAAAAACCCGGAAAAATTGCATCTCGAATTCGAAAAATTAGGGAAGAACTTAACCTTGCAAGGTCTGGCCTTGATGACGATGTAGCCATTCTTGCGGATGGTACCAGCCTGCTGGGGATAGGTCTTCGATGCGCCGGCGTCGGCCTTGGATTCGAACTGGTGCTCCTCGTCCGACATCTCTCTGCCTCCGAACTTGATGAGCGAGCTTCTCTGTCCCTCTTGGGTTTTCTCTTTGTTTCTGCTAAAACAACGAAAGAGGGCGACTTCTGGTTTCGGGACTGCAACCGGCTCTATATTCCAAGGCTTCTAGGTCATCTGTTAACCATGGTTAGTCAGATCGATTCTCTACCGTTGGATCTGTTATAAACTTATCCAAATAGAATAGAAGAAAGAGAAGGTTATCCATCCCTTTCTTTTTTATTATTTTTTTTCTCATCAATTTTCTTATTTTATTTTTTTAAATGAATCATAAATATATGTTTGGATTAATTTATATGAGTTTTAACGAAAAGTTCACGGTCTTGTTCACTTTAACAAAAAACAACATTTTTACATTAAAAGGTCAATCATGGTACTATTCACTTTACCCTTTATTTTGTCCTTATCATTAAAACTCAAAATTTTCAAGACATTTTCATTAGTTTTTCTTTGTTTTATTCACACATTATATTTTGTTGACTACCTCATACGTACTTGATAAACCTTACTTTTACTTTTTGAATTAAAATTTATCTTAATGCACCCCACATTTTTTCCAATACAACCCTCACACCTACACTCTCAATATACACCTCACACTCAAACTCTTTATCAACATCTGGGGTTATGTCAATTGAGTGTTTAGTTTTCTATCAGTTAGAGATTTTAAATTTCATATTTGAAGAAATTGGATCAAAAGCATCCAATGCAAACCAAGCTTTGCTAAAAATAGAATATAACCTTTGCAATCTTAGCAAGTGAATTCAAAAGATTGTTCAAGAGAATTTTAGAAGTGTCCATCATCATCAAGCCATCACATTGAAGACTATTACTTCTATTGGCTCGAGTAAGAATCAATAATGTGAGGGTTATGACAAGTCACCCTAAGTTGGTTCATGAGGTTTTCAATGTTTATTTTTTGTATATGCCCAACAGGCAACAGTAAACTCCACCTATATCAAAAACAAACCCATTCATTTTCTCTGTAGAGATTTTAGCCAATCGAATGAACTATTATAAACATAAACTGATATGTGATAAATGACATTGCATTGAATTGTGTCGTTGAGTTCAACAGCGGATGAGAGTGGTTTCGAGAGCTTGAAGAAAATAATATACACTAAAAATGATTTGGAGGTGTATTCATAATCTTATGGGGCCTAAATAGTCTTTTTGTATTAGAGTATATAAATAATATTTTATGTGAGGTGCATTCAATAATATGTGGGATGCTAATAAAAACCCCATATGTTTTCATACAAATAAATAAACTAAAATTTTGTGAACTAAATAAATGATACGACTAAATACTTATAACGGCATATTTTTTAAATATGAGTATCAACAACAAATTGTTCACGACTAAATACTTATAATTTTTAGTACGGTTAACTGCATATTTTTTAAATATGAGTATCAACAATAAATTGTTCGCATTTATTGAATGTCTTTTAATAGTATAATTGTTTGCGGTCCATAAGTTTTACTGAAATTGCAATTAATCATACAGAAAAATATCATATAAATAAAAGTTAAATTTATTTACTTGATATAATTTTACTCGCCATCAAATTGTTGCAAAATAGTAGAATATGCCGCATAGTGGCGGAATATTTTATCACTATTAAATTCACCACATTTCTTATCACAGTTGAACTAAAACCCACTTGGTTGACTTTTTCGTGTTTTCCATATTTATACTTATTCATAATTATATATAATAAATAAAAAATCACAAGCTGATGATTCGGTAATAAAAAACGGATTACGATGCTTCATTCAAACTAAAAATCGAGCTCTCGGGTTCGCCGCACAACAGTACTATTCTAGAAGCCAAGACAACTCGTAATGATGCCTCCACTGCCAACTATTTGTGGTTTATCGGCGCCATAAATCATCTTATAAATATAAATAGGTCACTCTAAACGGTTCACGTCTCTCCTCTTTTAAAGGATGCCGTGTTGGACTTGGACCGAACTACAGATCATATGCCCATTACAACTCTTCATGGGCCCATCAATAGTTCCGACGAACAAAACCAATTAGTTAACCATACAAAAATGCCATATTTGCTTAGCTCCCATATTATTCCACAATATTTTCTTTTTCTTTGACCATAGAATTTTTGAAAATAAGAGATATAATCATTTATTGAATAAAATTAATTACAATGCTCGAGCAATATAATTTCGAAAATACAATTGGTTCTTCGATTTAATTTCAAGAGACATTGAAATACAAAATTTTCATAACGCTAAATACTGAGTAAAACTTCTATAATGATTGGTACGCACTGGACCGACCATGTTAAAGAAATGGGAAAACACTGTAGGTAAAACCTAAATTCGATGACAAAATACTTCATCATCATTATGAATTCTTTCGTATACCATTCCATTCCACTTTGAGTTTGAGGCTTAGGGTTTTAGAGATGGAAAGGTTATGCAAAAAGGTGTAAATGAAAGGGAGAAATTGTGTAGAATTATGCTACGGGTGCCATTGTGGCATGGCGTTCTATGTTAATGATACTATCATAAGGACAAAAATTTACACGTATATTGTATCATTAAAACAAGATATCACAGTTCGATATACTTCTGCTAATTAGAAGATATATCAATCATGAATATATGTGATTTATTTGGTGTCTCTCTCTGCGGCGGAGGACCACTTGTGTTATATTTGATATTGCATCTTCACGTGGAGTGACTGCAAGGGACCATTCCCTTGCTCAGAAAAAACTAAACTAAAACTAAAACTAAAACTAAAACATAAAAACCAAAGCCTATAAAAAAACAAAAACTACTTTGAGCCACTGACACTGTAGTTCTAGCGGTATTCATGTTATGTCTGCTTGTAAGTAAGAGGTTTTAAATTCGGCTCCAATAATGACAAATTTGACACAATTACTATTGCCCATGTTGTGGCTTAGCTTAACCTCCACCCCTAATGTTGTTGTCTCAGGAAAAGAAAAGAAAAACTTTAAAATTAAATCCTTAATATATTGTTAATTGTGGACCACTTTGTTGAATAATTGAATTGGTTCTCATGCATGTTTGCACATAGTGCGGTTAATTGAGTGTGAATTAGTCTATCTACTAAGCATGAATCAATTTTTTTTTTTAAAGGGACCCATTAGTGGTTTTGTCACGGTAGTCCACCTTCTTGGGAGTTGAGAGACTCACATAGACATTTCAGCCTCTCCTGGTTACTATCGTGTGATTCACCAGCATCAGAAATCTAATCCAAAACATACCATATAGAATATGGACTTAAAATTCGTTCCCAACTATTAGGTCATCTTGTAGTGGTTGCTAAGTATGAATCATTCGCATTTTGTTTTATGAAGAAACATGCGATCCTTTGCAAGTTATTATGACGAGGTTGGCACTTGGCAACTTGGCATGCATGCCATGCTGCTTCCAATTCTTCCTGTACGAAAAGTCCTAAATGAGTGTGATTTAGCCGATCTCCTAAACTAGTCTTAAAATTTAGACCCATTTGACGGAGTAACTGTCCATTGTAAACAGCAACATCTGATCCGGTAACAACACTCACGAAGCTGCAGTTTGGCACCGAGGGAAAGTACGCGATTTTCGTATATGTTGATGGACATCCCGTGTTAGCAAGCACATGTAGTTTTAATGTGTAGGGACGTACGTATATACATACACAGCCAGTAAATTTTGCTTTTGGTTTAACCATCGATGGTTGACGGTGGATAAGGTGGTCCAGGACATTACTGCGAGTGCCAGAACGAGCTAGCTCTCCTGGCTAGTCTGTGAGTCTCTGACTAACCACCGCTAGGTTCCCTACCGCTACAAGCATCCTGTTCGTGTGCATATAATACTGACAGACAGTAGCATATCGGACAGACAATGGAATGAATTCACCATCAATGTTCACGGCAGATGAGAGAAACACAAATCTTAAGTTCATAACTAATACGAAAGATCTCACATCGAAGGAACTAGTTTTGCTTTAGAGTTTAGTCTACAAGGCTTCTTATAGAACCAAGTTAGGAAATTCTTAATAAGGATAATGCAACATCTGATTAAATCAAACTCCTTTGTATACAATATACATTAAACTTCCATTTCATGTCACCAGCAATGAGAAACGAAAGGAAAGAGCGAGTGCACGACATCAAAATTCCAAACAGAATTTCCATGGTACTGTACAATTTCTCAAGGCAGAAAAAAAGAACCGACTATAACAGCCAACAAGAACAAGCTAATAAGTAGGAAAACAAAAGCTAAACCAAAAACACTCACATATTCCTTTTTTCAGCTCAATTTGTTCTTCATTAGTTACCTGTTTGCTCGATATCTTTAAGAAGTCCGACAATCTGATGCATGCTTGGTCGCTTTGAGGGAAGGTCAGCTGTGCACAGATATCCAATCTTCAGGGCCTCCTCCATTTGGTCATCTGGTCCTGTGTCACGAATTTTTGGATCAATAGCGCTCGACCCTTTGTTCTTTCTAATCAATCCTCTAACCCAGCTCACCAAGGTTGCATCCTTCTCCTCTGGATAGTCATCGCCAAATGGCTTCTTTGAAGTAATCAACTCAAAAAGAATAACTCCAAAGCAATACACATCAGATTTTGGTGTTGGAGAATCATACTCGGACTGAGAAAACTCTGGTGGCACATACCCTGGTGACCCTTGAGAGATCTCTTCATCTAGGCCACTGCCAAAAATCTTAGCCAGACCAAAATCAGATAATCTAGGCTCTAAGTTATAATCCAGATAGACACTACTAGCTTTAACGTCTCTATGAATAATCGGAGGTGAGCAACCGTGGTGTAGAAATGCCAGTGCTCTGGCAGTGCCAAGTGCAATCTTGTGACGGAACCTCCACGATGTTAACAACCCTTCAGAACCAACATTTTGAATGTCATTGTTGTCTTCCTGTTCCCAAGTATCTGTGCTCCAATCCTCTGTTGTTTGCAGTACCCCGAGCGGCAAGTCATGAAGCAAATTCTGTAGATTCCCGTTCTCCATGTAGTCATAGATGGCAATCCGTTGGTCCCCAGCCAAGCAATATCCAGTCAATGGAGCAAGATTAG